AATTCAAAAAAAGCGCAACACAAAATTCTTCCATGAACAGAAGCATAAAATTGGTTCGTAGTCAGTCAATATAGGCTGGTTCATACGGTAAGATATACAGCGTTTCCGAATGGGTTCAGCCTCACCCTCTACCAAATCAGGCCACAGGCTTCGGTTTGTAGTTATGAAGCACGGTATCCTATTCAATATCTTCGGAGCTCTAAACCCAACTCTTAATTTTCAGTTTCTACATTCTGCGTAATCCGGGTAATCTGGTATTAATACATCGGGGGTGGAAAAATCGATGAAGTCAAGGTCGCGATTCCATGAACTACAGTTCTAATAGTCTTCCTCTGTACCAAGGTTTCCTCAATAAAACTCAACTCTTAACTCTCAGTTTCTACATTCTGCGTTATCCGGCTAATCTGGTATTATTAAATCGGGGGTGGAAAAATCGATGACGTCAAGGTCGCGTCACTATGACGTCATCGATTTTTCCACCCCCGATTTATTCATACCAGATTACCCGGATTACGCAGAATGTAGAAACTGAGAATTAAGAGTTGAGTTTTATTGAGGAAACCTTGGTACAGAGGAAGACTAATATACATAGTTGTGAGACCAATTGTTCCAGAATAGGTATTGGTCACGCCATTCAGTGGTATTGTCGGATTTTGTACTTTTCTTCGGAGGCTTATATTCTAAATAACCTGGATTGCCAGGACTGTAGATTTGTGTTCCATTGAAGTATTTATCCATGTGATATTGCGGCTGCATACCGACCTCAGTGTCCAAATAACCTTCAAGGAGACAAGTTGCACTAGCTTTAGGTACCGATTCATCCGTTTTTTAGTCTCCTGTTCGTGGTACGAAGAGAGCAATTGGTCCAATTGTGTTTGCATCGTTCCAAATATCAACAGGATCACTATTTCTATCTCGACCTAACCATCTAGTGGAATAGTTAGGATTTCCTGATGCATTTATTCCAGGAAACATCCAGAAGGAATTTTTAATTAATTCGTCCTTTGCAGGATGATCCAAAATACGGCGATTCCAACATTTACCGCCAAGGTAAATATTATCAAAATCATATTCAGTTTCAAATATGCTGTCTTCATTCATCCATTCCACGTTTGACCAATAAAGTGGATTACCGAGAATAACCATGGGCACTATAAAGCCGCCATACTTAATAATTTCATTTCGCATTTCATCAATTGATAGTCTGTAGGGTTCTCGGTGTGAAGCTAAGTTGCCGACAGGTAGGTGATTAACTTGTCCGGATAAGTCTCGACACATCATGATGCGTCCTCCGGTCTCATCAGATACAAGTGTTCGGTTTGAACCAGCTGCTGGAATCGTTCGGCTAACAGTTAAGTGAAATTGAATACTTAAGTGCGTCGAAAATTAGGTAGAAATATGAATGCTTATTAAGGAGCCACTTTTTACAAACTATGGTTTTTGCATGCAAACGGGGAGTTCGTTCTAGAGCTGGCACCCGGAAGGAACTGAATTATTATAGAATTATGCTGCTCGATGATTAATTTTACAACCCTCCCTTATTAATCTTTGCGAAACGAAAACGCATTTCGGAATTCCGGTTGAAATTTCATGAGTTATCCCACCTACTGTTTATATACATTATGTTTTGTTGACTTTGTATTTACCGGATATATCAAACTTAATTATTGTCACATGAACATGGTTGGTCAGCGGTTGATAGCCCTTCACAACACCTCGAAACCAAAAGAATGTGAACGTCTTCAGGTGATGAAATTCGGAACAAACTGCACCTTCGCCAAATACGAATGGCCGCACGGGCTGCTTCAAAAGACTGTTGTCTTACTGAATCAGCCGCACTGACAACTACCTCGAGTGATCTTTTGAAACTGCCATTGTTCGAAGTCCAGCAATTCTTTCCGGTAGTTAAGGAAGAACAGTGTTCCCCGGCAGAATTACAATTACTCTCGTGGGACTGCAAAGCAAATTGCATGCGCTGCGCTTCCCGATTGGATAACCACTGCCATCGGGTAACGTTCTGTATGTGCAGTAGTATAACTGAAACCTAGCTGGTTTTAAACCTATTGTTTTGTAATTTTCGATCTGTAAATCTGAGTGACCCAAGAGTTGCCGCACTGGCCTGCGCATGTATCAGAGCGGAAACGAACAGGTCTGCTTTGTCTTCTAGCCTAGTGACTAGAGTCCACACGGGCGGTCGCATGGCAACTGGCAGCCAATAATAGGGCTTATTCATAGATGTTTTGGCAGATCTTGAAAAATTCCTATTGACCCTACTGTGAAGAACTCGGCGTCTCGCTGTGGGATTCGAACCCACGACAGCAAGGGGAAGGCTTGGATACAGTCAATGCTCTAGCCACCTGAGCTGCGAGGCCCCAAATGTGATTAAAATCATGTCTCCCGTTGGGGCCTGGTAGTTAAGGTGGCTAGAGCGTTGGTTGTACTGAGGCCTTTCCCTTGCTGTAGTAGGTTCGAATTCCACAAAGACGCCGAGTTTTCACAGTTGGGTCAATAGGAATTATTCAAAATCTGCCAAAACACATATGACTTACGTGAGCCTGGTTGTCATCTGGGGGATTCTAGGTGGATTACTTGAGAAACCCTGCCTGGGCAGTCAGTTAACTGTATCCCATTTGGCGGATTCCAGATGTTACAGTAAGTTGTGCGGGTAACTTGACGCAAATGTGATTCAACTCACGGCACCCGGTAGAGTTAGAGCATTAACTGTACTAAAGCCTTCCCCTTGTTTTTGCGGGTTCAAATCCCACCGAGGCGTTTGGTCAGAATGAGTTATTTAAAATCTCCCGAAACACCTATTAACTGATTTCATTCAACGCTTCATGAGTTCGCGATCCACGCCGTAGGTCATACTCGCTTAAGTCACAAACTTACGAGCACGTAATTCCTCTAAGCACTTCAAAAACTATGTGGACCTTAGCATTAAAGACAGAAGATTTCAATTTTGCAAAAAATAATTAGAAAGTCACCGACTACTGAGTACAGTCGTAGACCACACAATTCGCAGTAATTCGCTCTTCCCCGCCTTTATAACATCGGCGGGCGGTCTCATGGCGACTAGCAGTAATTAGCAGAGTTTATTCTGGTTCTGATGTCTGAAGTGCGGTCCAGATTTGCGGTATCACTGGACGGTGGTGTTAAATACGCTGCAAATGGCCATCCCAGTATCCCTGTCTTTGTCGGCAAACATTTTACTGCTATTTGCCATGCGACCACATGTGTGAACTGCAGATCCTTATTTCCAAGGCAAAGTGACAATGTCAGCTTCCAACCTGCGAGTAGGATAGATTAGCATACACCAGCCTCACTTAAGTTACTGCCCTCTTTTTCGACTGACGACACGGCGAATCCGGCACTGTAGTGGCGAGAGCGTACTGTGAGTAACCGATCTCATGAAATGTTGGCTGAAATTCTGAAATGCATTTTCGATTAGAAAGGATTGCTTAAGCCCAGTTGTAATACTGATTATCTTGCATCATAAGCCTATAATATTTCAGACTCGGCAGGATGTCGGCTTTTAAATTTGCAGCTTTTTAATCTTCCATAGAAACCATACTCAGTAAGAAATGACTACTTAAGTGGCATGCTTTTTTACATTGATTTTGGGTAGTCTCGCAAAAAAAACCACGAACAACAATATGCCTCCTTTCAGGCGTTTGATAAAGAATCACGTCATCTTTGTATTTTATACTCGAAGAAGGAGTATAACTAGGCTTTAAAGAAATTTTGCAATTCTCGAATAACTTGGAGCCTGACCAGTCGTTGCATTAGCGCTTAGTGATTTAAGTCTACAAGGTATATCATATATTCTTCTATGCCTTTAAAAATATACCATATGGAGTCCATAAAATGCTGCAATGGATGCAGACTGTGTTGTACATTAATGAGGAGCAGTGATAAAAGTACAAGTACGATGTTGTATAGATGGACATTGCAAGGTCTTAAAGATCTCATAATTAGAAACTTTTTTAAAACCTAATTATACATTTTCTTCAAGTATAAAATATAAAGATGACGTGATTCTCTATCATACGACGGAAAGAAAGCATATATTTGTCCGCGGTTTCTATAAAATATATTTGACTTTGCAAAACTACCCAAAATCAATGTAAAAAAGCATGCCACTAAAGTAGTCATTTTTACCGAGTACGGTTTCTACAGGAGATTGAAAGGAAATGTATTCAAAAGCCGACACCCTGCCAAATCTTAAATTCTATAGGACTACGCCGCGGGATAATCAACATTACAACCCCACCTAAGTAGTCCTTCCTAATCAAAAACGCATTTCAGAATTTCGGCTAACATTTCATGAGATCGCATCTAAGGGGTGAGAGGGTGTTCTCAGAGCGCTGCAATCATCAAGCCAAATTGTAAGGAGAAGACAGTGTCACCAGAATGAGGGGTTTATTGAATGCGGAACCCCGAGTTTGTTGCTTTTTAATTTTTCTCAGGAATTAACTGCGAACTTGAAGTAGGTCAGTATATTCTAAGGTCTATAGGCGCGGGTTGAAATTCGATGCATGAATATTGGGGCCGAATTCCACCAGCCACGGCGGGATGACCGTGTAATCTTCATTAACTACTGACCGGCAGCTAGTAGTATATTTTGGGGTTATAGGATACCATTCCAGCAGCACAGGTATTCGCTAAAAGCCCAGACACGCAGGTTTCGCCGATATTCTGCTGGAGACCCACTTAAGAGCCTAACCTCTCGCACCTGTGCCATGCAGCGGCAGACTATCCGCAAAATACGCATGTCTGAGTTTCTAGAGAGTACCTGTGCTGCTAGAATGATATTCTGTAACTCCTGAACTCCGAGTTGTCCTCTCAGGCGGCAGTGGCCTCTGATGAAGCCGGAGCTGGTGTTGCTGAGGTTGCCATGAGGAGTGGTGTTCTTCCAGGCTCTGTTCTTGGCCCTACACTGCTCCTCATATACGTCAACGACTGCGCAAACGAACTGGACTGCAATGTCGCAATGTTTGCTGATGACAAAGATCAGGAGTACCATACGAAGCGAAGTTGACGAGGCGCGACTACAGGCAAATCTAGACCATCTCGAGCAATGGTCGAAAGACTGGCTTCTACCATTCAACGTAAACAAGCGTAACTTCCTACGCGTCGGCGAAACCAGTTCTCCTACCCGCACGGTCTATCGTCTGACTGGCAAACCACCGCAAGTAGTCGACGCCCAGAAGGACTTGGGTGTATGGATCACAACCTCACTTAAGCCTTCACTGCAATGCTCATTCGTAGCCAAGTCGGCGATGTCCATTCTATACCTCGTCAAGCGGGCGTTCTCTTCCTTTGATGAAGACTGCTTCGCCAAGGTTTTTCGAACTTTTGTGCGACCACATCTGGAGTTTGTTATCCAAGCATGGATACCCTGGACGGCTAGAGACCTCGGCATACTCGAAAAAGTTTAACGGCGAGCAACGAAACTTGTATCTGGACAGTGGTCACTACCCTTTGAATCACGATTAGCTATTCTTGACCTCTTTCCTTTGAGTTGCAGACAGCTACGTGGGGACCTGATACAAGCTTTCGGCATCGTACGCAATCAGGGCTGCTGCCTCGCACCTGGACACTTCTTCGATTTGGCGACTACGACTAATCAGAGGGGACATCCACTCAAACTACGTGTGACTGGTGCCCGGCTAGACAGATGAAAGTTCTTCTCCAACAGAGTGGTTGCAGCTTGGAATGCTTTGCCTGAGGATGTTGTTATGTCGGGATCCGTAGACATTTTTAAACGGAGGCTAGATCAACATTGGAGCGCGCACCTTACTAACGCCGGACTACAGCCACCTTGATGGCCAACGTTGACAATTTTGTGTTATGACGATGCCACTACCAACATTCATGCTTGCTTCAACTGTCTGCTGAATTTAATCAACAAACCGAGTTCATATGCCTCTAAATGCTGTTAACGCATGAAACTCGGACAAATGAAACGTTGATTCGCTAAAGCAAACAAACGGCAAAGTATGGCAGGCTAGAAAAGCTAAGGAATATGGTAATCAGAGTGGTAATGCGATAGCAACTTGCCTTCAATAATGGCATTTCCGACTGACTATCGTAAATATCGACCGTTTGCCGTAAATTCACCAGTTATGTAGGTCAAATGATTAGCATATCCTCATCGCCATATCTAACCGGATTACGTTTCTGGAAGGATCAATGGAGCCCAAAAGCCGAAAAAATCTAAAGTTTGGACAAACTGTGTGAAGCTTTCGAAACGAGTGACTATATACCAACTGTACTAACAGTACTAACTAACTGTGCTAGTTAGCCAACTGACTAACTAATTAACGAAATAACTAACTAACTAACTACAATAACTGACCACCTAACTGACTAACTAACCGACTAATTAACTATGCTAACACACTAACTAACCGACTGACTGACTATACTAACCAACCGACTAGCTAGCTGACTATACTAAATAACTAACTAAATTGTAGGTGAGCTGCGTGAAACTTTCAAAGCGAGTAACTATATGATTACTTTTTATTTGACCAATATTCTCACTTGGCCGACTTTCTTAATGACATTTTCCGGGTCTCTCAGTGATTGGAAGTACCACTGAAGCAAAATTTCACAAAATGTAAACTTAAGAATAGTCCCGGAAAACGCCGCAGCTCGCATGAAAATGTTCGACCAATCACTATTCAGCACTCTTCAAGCCGTCCACATTTTGCGTTTTTTAATTATGATCCACTGACTTGAGGTTCGAATCTCGGGTGAACATTCCGACACTGGGTTTATGACGCCAAATAAGCCACGAAGTGGTCATTTTACTGTCCCCGTTTTTGTTAGTAAACACTTGTCAATTGAAAGAGATCTTCTGCAGTCAGTTTGCCGAGTGAGCCAACTACAGATATGACAAATCCCGGTAAAAATCGGGAGATGGCACCCAAAAAATCCGATTGTTACCCAAATCCCCTTCCGTCGACAAGCCAATGTGATCGATTAAAATGGAGCGCAGCAGCCATGGAAGGGCTTCAGGATTGAGATGAAAGTGTTGCCATGACGACTGGACACCCCAGACTATAGTAGTGTAGTCGGCCAATGGAAGGCTGAGTCACATCGTGCCTGACTGCCTCCGAATTCCCAGGTCTTGAAAATGTGCTCAATCAAGGGCTGCATGATTGCCCCGGGAAAGACTGAAGAGACTAAGAGTTAGGATTGCTTGTACTGGAACACGTACACTGACTGAAATAAGACGGCTAGGCATTAATTTTCACATGGTACTCAGACCACTGTAAGTAGCTACCCCGAGAAACTATGAGCAGGTGTGAACATCTGGTTCAAGAAAAACGATCTCAGGAGCTGAACACGCTTCGCTAGTTGATTATTAATTACTCATCAATGCAGTACGTGACCTATCTCATGAAACCTGATGACGGAAACTGACACGAAACTTTCTGGGCGTCTGTAACGTTGCGCGTTTTCCTCGCTCATCCAATTCCTTCAATGAAATGTCCTTTTCTTGAGGAGAAATTGTGTTTACGTAATTATCTCAAGTAAAATGTCAGTAATCTTTAGCGAAAATGGACGTTGGAATATAATTGTGCAATTTTTCTATGCTCATACCTGTCCTAGACTCCGGTTATGCAGTTGAGCAACTTTTTCATTGAAAGAATAGTAATTTACCCACGAGAAATTTAATGAACAGATTTAGCCGAAATTGAAAATTTATTTTATGTCCGATGTTAACCGTGGTAATCAGCCTGATAACACAAAGGTTATTTTAAGAAAACCAGAGGTTTTATAAATTCCTAAAAGTTAAATTAGCAGATCTGTGCGATTTGAGGCCCTAAAGTGCAGTAATAACGCAGATAGGAATTCCTTCGTTCAAACAGGCTGAAATTATTTTGCCGTCTGGAAAATTCTACTTGATGATGGCCTCACCGGGCAAATTGCGAAGTACACAGAGATCCGTCAACGGAGTGCAGTAATAAAGCACTTCTTAAAGAGGCTACTTAGTAAGGAAAGTTTTCTTATTGATTGAAGGCATATTAGTTGCTGACTTTCGTTGTGGACAGCCACGTTTTTGGAAAATGGAGTTTGATGTTTGAATGAGTCTTCACATGTGACCCAAACAATCACCTTCGTGAAGAGGAACACCCCAACACTCACTAATTCCGTAAATGCCTTCAATAATTATCTTATTTGAAGGCTTTTAACAGACAGGAAATTCAGAATCTGTCTTTATGGACGATCGGGTGAAAGCACTGAAAATCATTAAGTACTCACCAATATTTCAAGGCCAATCTGAAACCCAATGTAATCAAAAATGAACAAAAGTGTAAATCAACTTAACGAAAGAAGATTTCTCTTTATAAACATAAAAAGATGTGTTAACAATCACGACTGTCAGTTCTATTTCAATTTGTTTGGGACCGATCGGCCTGACAGCATGTCACTTTGAAAACTATTGTTCCCGTGACGTCTCCATCGGTGAAATCAAGCAAAATCCAGTTTCTCTCGTTGAACCCCATCTCAGTTAACTCAAACGAATCAAGGATACCACTAATCCATGGAAAACTGTTTTGGGATTTACACACAGAATGTTGGCAGTTGACAAACCGTTACATTTAAAATCACACTAATTATTAAACAATATTTACATGTAAACTAAACTGAAACACTGTTATTAAACGTTATTTTATTTTTACTTTTATATTTACTGCGTTTTGATAATAAGAATACGTTCTATATATGTAGCAACTATGTTTACTAAATCGCAACCATTTTTGGCGTTTTCTGGATATTGCGATGTTCTAAGAATATCAGCATTTCTAAACAACGCAACACAATCTTTAATATCTGTTTTATGTTTTAAAGTCTTTTAAACTTGTACTCAATTGACATAGACATTGGACTCATGAAATGATGTCGGTATGCCAATGATTGACAATCATTCGTAAATTTCGACGCCTTTCATGAGTTACGTAACGAACTGTACGAGTCTGGTGAATGGTAAAATGACTGGCTTCCGGGGTAAACCGTAGGAATTGTGTACTCAACAACAGGCACGTGTTCGCTACCTGGCGCCAACTCCGGGTTGCAGCGAATGTGGGGTCTCTCCTAATGCGAAAAAGACACCACCCATCTGACGGCCAAGCAGTATTTCAGGATTTGGTTACAATGGCGGCCAGTAAGTCCCAACGAAGAGAGAACCTGACCACCCACCCATACTTATCCGACCCAAAAAAGAAAAACCCTGCACGATCGACCTTCTAACCAACCAATCAGCCAGCAGAAGCCCATCTGATAACCAAAAGACCACCTACAATTCCCTGTGCCTGCCTGTCATGGTGACGCCAGAGCGGAAAGATGTGGAAGGGGGGTCTTATCGATCTAGACTTGTTGTTGCTCCCAACAAAAAGGAACATAATTTTGCCGTCTGAGCACGTCCGCTGTCAGACAGAAGCCCATGTAGATTGATGGTTGATAAAGCAGCCTGGGTATTTTTCGTGCAGGTCCCTTCATTTCCAGCAGAGGCTGCAGAAAAACGCATTTAAGTTCTAAAATTGAGGGGTATGGGTGAAGACACTGGTTGCAAGTCCAAGTCTCCGACCACTAGTTGTAAGTGAATACAGGTCAAATTTCAACTACCGAATAGAAATAAAGGATTTTCCGCACACGGAAAATATACAGCTTGTAGTTTGGAACCTTGAATGCAGATGTTACGGCAGGTCGGGTTCAAAATTATTCGGGAAATAGGAAAATTTTTTTAAAACCAAATCATACCCTTTCTTCGGGTATAAAATTTAAATAAGGCGTAATTTTCTACCAAATAATTGAAAAAATGAATATTTGCATACGTGTTTTCTATGAAACATATTTGAATTTATAAGGGCATATAAGATCAATAAGAACAATACATGCTACACAGGTAGTCATTTTTTACAGAGTTTAGTTTTTGTATGCAGCCGGAAAGAAGGGCGTTAAAAAGCCAGCATGCTTAAGTAAATAAATTGCCATGGGATTATGCTGCACGGTGATTAATATTACAACCCTACGTCAGTAACCTTTTCGAGTCGAAAACTCATTCCACAATCTCTGTCAACATTTCATGAGTTAGCACACATACTCCGGGTCCGAATAACCAGAATGAAACACTGCACATCTCCCATGATTTATCCACTTTATGATAAATAGCGTCAGAATCCAAGTCAATATTACTTTGGTAAACCATTTAGCCCTTTTATACTACTGGCTGTTTGCTGGCAACTTGCGAGTGTTAGGCGTCAGTGTTAGTGTTAGGCAGTGGTTAGTGGAATTCAGCTGAAATATGCATGTGTTACCCTCCGAATCGAGACTATAACGCATTGTTCCGGAGGATTTAGTCCCAGTTCGCTCACTAATTTCCTCGAAATTCAAACAGAACTACAGGACTACTAGAGAGGCACGTTTATGCGTCAGGCCAAACGTCTCTCCTGTTGGGGATGGAGCTTCAACAGTAGCATCCGGGGTTCCAGTTAGGTCCACTCAAAAGTGCTTTGGCCTGCATATAAGGGGTGTGAAAATACTCGTGACAAAATCTCGATTTCCGGATGGCACATCCGATGCGCAGATGCATTTCATCCGATTCATTTGACCCATTTGTGAAATACTCGGTGGCCTCCGTGTGATTATAGCTCACGACAGCGAGCAGAAGGCATGGGTACAGCCAACTTTCTAGCCCCATCGGGAGCCTTGAGTTTAATCGGATTTGAGTCAAGTTATCCGTCCAACCTACTGCAACGTCCGGAATCCACCAAATGTGATACGTTACGTTAATTGTCCAAACAGGATTCCCTAAGTGATCCACCTGGAATCCACCCACTGACTACCGGGTTCACGTAATTCATAGGTGTTTTGGCTGATTTTTAATAATACGTATTGACCCAACTGTTGCAGAAACATGACGCCTCGGTGGGATTCGAACTCACGACTGCAAGGGGAAGGCTTTAGTACAGCCAACGCTCTGGCCACCTGAGCTGCGAGGCCCAAGATGTGATTCACCTCACGTCTCTGGTAATGACCTCATTTTTTTCAGATATTCTTGTCCAATAGAAAAAAAAATACGGAATCTTCGATAAGGGATCGCCGTCCGTCGTCGCTCCGCCAGGACTTCCTCCTTTCATCATATCATCTCGGAAGCATACTGCTTCAATTATTCATCATATATTTGGGCGTCAAACGCTTATTCTTACCAGACGTTGGGATAAGTTCGCGCAGAGAGAGGCGACAACCTTCGAACAGTTGAGTTTCCTTCACCGCTGTCGCAATCACGGCATTCTTCCGAAGTCTCTTCGTTTTAAACCCATACTGCACAATGAGGCTGGGAGGTCACTCGCTCGCAAATATGGATTCCGTGTTTTGAGTGTGATTATATCTGACGTCCACCATCGTCTTCAGCGATTTGAGGCGATAATCTCTGACCTAAAGAACCGGTGTGTTTCAGCCCTGCCTGAAGACATTTTCGAAAATTTACAGCAGCGCATAAATGCCACCGCCAAACATGCTCGTATGAAGAAGCGGGCCGATCTTCAAGAGAAGCTCCAAGCTCTCCTCCGTCCTATCAATGACAGTAACATATCTGTGAGAGTTGTCAGCCTTTCGAAAAGGATTCTCACACCCGCCGAATCAAGCCTATTGTCTAAAGGAATACGGTTCAGTCATGTCGATGCTGCGCCTACAAACTTTTTAGCGAACCTGGAATCCCTCCTGCTAACCTCATCCATCCCTGAAGACATGCGTGCGGACATACGCAACTGTGCGACCGGCCTCATCCGGAAAAGAAGACACCAGCAAACCTTGCCGATGGAAGAGGAGAAGAGATTACGATCCCTGAGGTCAGACGACAGTATCGTTGTTCCATCGGCTGACAAAGGTGGTGCTACTGTCATTATGGACAAGACTGACTATGTCAATAAGGCCAACCAGGCCTTTAATGACAGAGAGACCTATACCCCAATTGCTGAGGATCCGACGAAAAAGCAGGCCGCATCTATAAAGAAGAAGGTGAACGAGCTCACTCGTAAAAAGCTCATAAACCCCGCGGACACCAAATTTCTGACTCCCAACGACACCCGCATCGCACGCGCTTATGGCCTCCCATAGGTGCACAAAGCAGGTGCACCGTTGAGGATCATAGTGCCGCTCATTGGATCGCCTGCATATAACCTTGCCAAGTGGCTGTACAAGCACCCAAAGCACCTCACAAATGAATGGCAGTACAGCATCAATAACTCTCATGCTTTCCTTCAGAGGATCCAAGGCCTTAATGTAAGCTCTGATGAATGCATTTTATCGTTTGATGTAGTTGCTCTATTTTCCTCAATACCGCATAACTTGGCCATTGAGAGCGTAGCTCGACGCCTAGAGGAAACTCCAATTGGCATCCCAACAGAGCACGTTTTAGACATGCTTGGGCTCGGCCTTAAGAACTATTGTCAATTCAATGGCAAGTATTACTAGCAGGTCAAGGGCACCCTCATGGGTTCACCGATATCGGGCCTACTCGCCGACCTAGTCTTACAAAGACTAGAAGAAATTGTTATTCAAGCCATCAGACCAAAGATGTGGCTCCGCTACGTAGATGATACCTTCGTAGTCATAAAAAACTGCGAAGTTGAACGACTGCACCAGAGTCTTAACGGTGTCTTCCCCGCCATACAATTCATACGCGAAGAAGCAAGAGGGGACATCCTCCCTTTTCTTGACGTCAGTGTACAAAGACTGACTGATGACAATCTCGCAACTAGCGTCCACAGAAAAGACTCCAGTGCCGAAATCATCCTCAGCTACGGGGGCAATCATCCTGCAGCCCGCAAAAAAAGCTGCGTTCGAACTCTTTTTTACCGCGCCTTCCGGTACTGTAGCAGTCAGTATCTACTCAAAAGAGAACTAGCCTACTTATACCAACTATTTCGATCTAACGGATATCCGATTAGCTTCGTGAAAAACTGTCTCAGACGTCAGAGGAAACCACAAAATCAGAGTTCAAGTGGAGAAGTGGCACAGAGGAAATATTATTCCCTGCCCTACATGCGAGGAATTTCTGAAGCGATAGCCCGACAACTAAACCGGTTTGGCATCTGCATTGCCCACAAGCCGGCGTCCTCCTTACGCGCAGCACTATCCCGGGCAAAGGATCCCATACCCGAAGAATAACAAAGTAACGTCATTTACCGTACCCCGTGCGCTAACTGCCGTTGCGTTTATATCGGTCACACGGGTCGACAACTTGGGACTCGGATTAATGAACACAAGTTAGCTATCCGCCGACGCGACCACTTATCTCTAGTGTTTACCCACGCTCTTGACTGTGACCACCGTTTCAATTGGGACGGTGCCGAAGTGGTCGCCATGGCTAACACTAAACATGCACGGGAATTCCTCGAAGCTTGGCACTCCGGTGCAGATAGCATTAACCGCCATGTTGACCTTGATGTCCACTACGAGGGTCTCCGATCACGATGGACTGACTGGCGCCCACCTTAAGAACAACAACAGCTAATGCGTGCCCGGACATGCATGA